TGTTGTATTACATACTGCGAGTTCTTCTTAAAACTGCTTTTGTGTTATATTCAGGGCTTTGGACTGAATCCAGAGAACGCAACTAAGGCGGTTGAGGTAAAGAATAAAGGCAAAACAGCACAACTGACTCATGGCTCTGTTGTTATTGCTGCAATTACATCTTGTACCAACACAAGTAACCCGAGCGTGATGTTAGCTGCCGGTCTTGTTGCCAAGAAGGTAGGCTTTTCGTGACAGGTGATCGTTTCTGATGGCTCCGATTAGTTTCTGATTTTAGGCCGTAGAACTTGGGCTGACTTCTCAGCCGTATACAAAGACTTCTCTTTCTCCTGGATCTGGAGTTGTGACGAAGTATCTTGAAGCTTCTGGTCTTCTTCCATACCTTCAACAACTTGGGTTTCACATTGTCGGTTATGGTTGTATGACATGCATTGGAAATTCTGGTCCTCTTGACGACGAGATTGCTAAAGCTATCGAAGAGGTATGCCTGATTCTCCACTCGAAATTTTTACTGTCACGGCTCTTCCATTCACGCAGCATTTAACACATTGAACGCCGCGTGAATTGTCGGCAATACACGCGCATACTCCCGTTTCTCGCGTTTGTGTATTGCCCACAATTCACGTTTTGTGGATCGGTTTTTTCGTGGATAAGAGTGCGACTTGAACCATTCTCACCGTGTATATGTTCAGTGAGCTTTGCTTATGCTTAGTTCATGATGGCGTGAAATAAGCTGCTCCATTGGAGTAATTCATTAATATTATTACAAAATAACAGTCAGTGGCGCGGTAGTTGCACTTCTTATGATAGCTCCGCATCGCTACAATGGTAGTAAGACTTCTAGTGATAATTAGTGTCAATTTGCAATACATTTGATAGTGTTTAATTCATTATGATAACAGTATTTATGTGGTCAAAAGTGACGTTTAGATCTTCTACGTTGTCCAGATCCATCTATGCAGCTAAAAAAGTCATCATTCATACTGAACAATGTAAAAATGAGCGCAAAAGTAACCACAATGTGCGTGTAAAGGGGCATGCGGCACAAAGACTCCCGTTTCGCGCGTTTGTGTATTGCACGCAATTCACGCGCGGAGACGCAGGAAGTAAAAACGGGAGTCGCCGTAAAAACGCCGCGGCGTTCAATGTGTTAAAGGCGAAGTCCGTCATTATTCGCCATCACAGACAGTGGATTAGGGGTTTACATATAGACGACAAGGTTCTGGGTAGGTCGATAGTAAAGAAAAATGCAGAAAAAAGCATGCCAACTGCCCTAAATAGAACCCCGTTCTGATCCCAGTTTTGTACGTTCCCAATTAACTCCATCTCCAACACTGCACTATAGCGCCTCTCTCTTACAACTTTTTGCCGCGAAACCGGTGCAAGGTTGTTCCTCAGGTTGACCACACTACCCTTCCGAAGCCATATTTTCAACTTTTATACCTGATCGCGGACCGTGTCTTCGAAAATTAGGGAGCTGTGAATGAATTAACGTCTGCACCAGCAGGGTACAGCATGGGGATGTGCGAAATGGCGGTGTGAGTACGACCCCCCCCCTCGAAGAGGGTCACAGACCCCCCCCCCCTCCTGCTCTAACTGACAACCAGATGCATTGTTCACATCACAAACGGCTTCCTGAAATGGAATCTGGATTTTCGAAAGGCGACTCTGCTCTAAATCCAGGCAATAATAGGCTGTTTCAGGCATGCAATATGAGGCTGAACAACAGCCTCACATTACCTACAATTTTGTCTTATGATTCAGAATAAAACTCGACAACCATTTATGACATGCAACTTGTAACAAGGAACACAATCGAAACAGCGACTAATGGTGATCATTGATAAGCTAAATTGGTGAAAAAAATAGCCCCAAGGTCAGCGTGTCAGGCCCAGATGTGCATTCAATGAATGGTGACGGGGAAATCATGAAAACATGCACGACACAACAAAGCGAAACATGAAAAATACAAAAAAAAATGCGGAGCCAAATGAAAAAAATGGGCGGCAGTATATATATATATATACAGGGGGGGGCCAAAAAAAAGTCATTTTGCCTCCATGACTTTCAAGGCGCTATAAGTTACACTTTATTAAATTTTTATCGGACATTTTTACTACCATATTAAAGAGCACATTAAATACTATAATGATACTCCGCCACAGCCTTCTGGAGGAGCGCCATCGAGAGATTCGGCCGCGCGAAAGTGAGTGGGTACCGGAGTTGAGCGAGATCGTTGATTTCTCCGCCACTGTAGACCACCCTGTTGAGCTCCGCCCGAACTAGTAATTGAGTGGGTTCAGGTCAGGGGACATATTTCAATATTACATCTTCATCAGGTACGAAACGCCCTTCCATTCGAAGTAGGCGGGAGTTTTTCCAAAACCCTTCGATTCCATGTGGTGGCACCCAAACCTGTAGCAGCACAAGGTCTCCAAGAAGGTACGGGCGACCACATGTAGGGAGGATATCCTTCTCGAGTTACTTGATGTAACCGCCAGCGCTCACCTTCAGTCGGGGTCTACAAAGAAAATATCGGTCTTCCCATTCCAGGTACGGCCGGTCCACACCATCAACCCGCGCCTTGGTGAATGGGGTGAAGATGATGTCCTGGACCGTAGCGACGTTGCCGGAGCTTGCTCGATGTTTTTGGAGGTCTTGCAGATCAAGAGTACTGGTCTCCAGGTAGCTATCCATTCAAGAAGTTCCGCAGCTGTTTGGAGGCCACGTGAATTCCAAAGGCGTTCTCCACTCAGGCCGCGACTGGAGATGACTTCATATTTTGGTGTACATGAAGGTGAATGGCGGCAGCCGGCTCCTGCTTATAGAGGAAGATCTTGGGTATCTTCCGCCCTGGTACTCATATCCACTTCCTCTGTCTGGGCTGCGAAAACTTCGCTCATATGTGACTCGGCCGGAATGACTTTTTTTTGCCCCCCCTGTAGTATCTACACCGGCTATAATCGATCGCGAAGATTGCGACCGCTTTCATTGGAAAAACGTCACAAAACAAAAGCAAAAATTCCAGAGTCAAGGATGTGCATATCCACTTGGCTATCGGCGCGCTTGAACGCATGATCTTATCCTTCTCAGTTGTGCAAACTGAGCCAAGATTAAAGGGTCCGTAACTCCCTTCAGAGAATCGTTCCGCAAATTTGGAGAACAGATTTGGATTTAGCGGCTCAAGACACGTCCATACATATACATCTCATTACGAATGGCCGGATCGACCTGTTGGGGTTCCCTTGTCAGATGCCTTGAAAATTATATATGTTAACAAAAAACTTCAATGCTAGGGATGAAGAGTTTCCTTCATTTCCAGTACCTGAGCGAGAACTGCCCTATTTTCAAGCGCATTTATTGAAGCTTAATTAAAAGTAGCGTGTAACAGTATGTAAAATGATGAGTATGGGGGATAGCTTATGAGGAAAGGCCGTCCACTTGCCGTGGAACTTGGATAGAGACTCAGCTATAGTTATATATTGTCTGGAATACTATTTAAAAACCCTAATTGGTACCTTGAATCTCGGAATGAGTTATGAGCGTCTGAACTTTGCAGCAGTACGATGCAGTAGTGTTCGAGGTTCCTGCATCATAGGCAGGAAAAAAGTTTTCTCTCATGTGCTGATAGTAACCACGGTGCACTGTTCCCTCGCTCTGGTCCAGCGGTTATATCCCGCATGACGTGCGCCGGCCCACCTGACCTTCTACACCTTGGCAAATGCGCCTGCGTCCCTGATCTTCGACTGCGGAGAATTCCGAGCATTGCTGTCTTGATGGCGCGTTGAATGGCGCTTACGGTATGATCATCCTGCCTTCATGGAAAGTCTCCGTGGCTCAATTAGGCGCGAGGAGGATGCGGAATCGGAGAGGTGGGCACGGATCGAGAGCTGTTCTTCATTTAAGCTAACTTTCGCTTTCCTGCGTGCTTGATTGGGTGTCGTTTATAGACCTGATTTTCTCATACGCACTATATATACCATTTTCACTTTAAATTCACCCCTTTTCAAACCAAATTCACCCTTTTTCAAACCAAATTCACCCGTTTTCAAACCAAATTCACCCGTTTTCAAACCAAATTCACCCTTTTTCAAACCAAATTCACCCACCTTCCAAATCGAATTCGCCCACCTTCCAAATCAAATTCACCACACTTATTAGGCTGCGCAAGTCATCTACCAAATCACGCCGGACACTACTGCGGGCCCCGCCCCCTCGGCCACGCCCACTTGCTTTTTGCGGAATTTTGATATATTTTTTCAAAATTATTGCATTTTTGGACTGCTGCGTGAAGCCCCGCCCAGTATGAGAGGCTCCGCCCACTTTTCAAAAATGATGCAAGTCGGCAGTATAAGGTCTTGGCTTTCATGCTAGGGTCTCGTTCGTCACTCGGAACAAGAAAATCAGGCAAAGTTTGTTCCGAGTGACGAACGAGACCCTAGCATGAAAGCCAAGACCTTATAACTGCCGACTTGCATCATTTTTGAAAAGTGGGCGGAGCCTCTCATACTGGGCGGGGCTTCACGCAGCAGTCCAAAAATGCAATAATTTTGAAAAAATATCAAAATTCCGCAAAAAGCAAGTGGGCGTGGCCGAGGGGGCGGGGCCCGCAGTAGTGTCCGGCGTGATTTGGTAGATGACTTGCGCAGCCTAATAAGTGTGGTGAATTTGATTTGGAAGGTGGGCGAATTCGATTTGGAAGGTGGGTGAATTTGGTTTGAAAAAGGGTGAATTTGGTTTGAAAACGGGTGAATTTGGTTTGAAAACGGGTGAATTTGGTTTGAAAAAGGGTGAATTTGGTTTGAAAAAGGGTGAATTTAAAGTGAAAATGGTATATAAACGGCAACGTCTGTCTGTGGTCTGTAAGTCTCTTTGTAAGTCTGTCTGTCCGGAAATGCGGAATCATCTGAAGAGCCAGTTTTAGGGCGGGTCAAGGGTGGGTTGGATGGGGGGGGGGGGGGGTAGGGCATGGGCCAAGATGTACGGAACACACATGAACTAAGCTAAGCCCTCGCCCACTGTGGGCGGGGCGTGCACACATTAGTGAGCAACATTTTTCAAAAAATTGTACGTCGGTTCCAAAGAAGCCCGAGAGCGGAAAAAGTGGCAAGCGATAGGCAATCAGTTGGCGGACGAAATGAGTGAGACAAACCCATTTTGGGCGGGGCGTTCTATAGGTGGGCGGTGCTTGCTACGAAACTTTCAAAAATTCGTAGTTCGGTTCCAAAAGAGCTCAGAGAGTGGGAGAAGTGGCAAACGATAGGCAATCAGTTGGCGGACGAAATCGATGAAGCACAGCCCTGATGGGCGGGGCGTTCGCCGAAGTGAACGGTGCCGAGAATATACATACATATACAAGAAGTGAAACGGGAAAGTGCGGTGATTCTCGAAACAATATTTTTTTGCAGGCTCATTCCGCCGTGAAGGCCGCCGATCCGACTGGTCCTCCCTCTCATGGAAAACTTCTCACCGGGACCCACTTCACACGCGAAAGGAGGATCGTCAGGAACCAGTCCGTTTTTCACGAACATCCTCGCCTACAGA